ATTCTTTCTGACATTGATGACTGTTCAGAACCTTTGAACCGTGCTTCGGGAACTGATTGCCCAACTGTGTGGTATGTCAAAACAGACAGCGACCTTAATGGTGTTCAGAAAGAACAACTCGAAAATTTACTGCTGTGTTATGCTGATGTTTTTTCAAAGGATAAACGTGACATTGGGAAATATTCCGAAGGGGTGCAGCATCAGATCCCCTGTAGCACCTGAAAGCAGGTGCTACTCCAGTTAAACAGCAGCTTCGTAGAGTCCCTTTTGCGTACCAAGAAGGAGTCAAGTCAGATTTGAAAGCTATGTTGGAAGATGGGATTATTGAGAAATCCACCTCAGAATGGGCTAGTCCCCTGGTCATTGTGAGGAAACCTTCGGGGAATCTGAGAATATGTGTCGATTACAGGAGATTAAATGAAGCTACAAGGGTAGCCAGTTATCCTCTTCCCAACATGACTGAAACATTGGAGCGGCTAGCCGATGCCAAGTTTTCCACTACAATTGACATTGTCTCTGGCTACCATCAGATTGAGCTGGCTCCTGAGGACAGGTACAAGACTGGTTTTGTTTCACCCTTTGGATTGTTTCAGTATTGTCGCTTACCGTTCGGTCTCGCAGGAGCACCAGGAACGTTCCAGGCAGTAATTGAGGACATGCTTCAAGTGTCGGAGAGGTTATTGCAGGTGTTGAGAGGTTATTGCAAACTATCAGGAAATTTGGGTTTAAGTTATCTGGAAAGAAGTGCCAGTTTGCCACAAGGTCTGTCAAGTTCCTTTGTCATGGTATTGACAAAGATGGTATTCGGCCACAACCAGAGAAGTTGGATATAATCCGAGACTGGAAGACCCCTCAAGATGACGCAGAACTTCGCCGGTTCTTGGGTGTTTGTACATTTTGGAGACGGTTTGTGAAAGGTTTCGCACGCATTGCAGTTCCACTTCATGAACTCCTGAACAAACTGGAATTTGTACGGACATCTCAATGTGAAAGTGCTTTCAAACAGCTTAAGGAAATTCTGTGTGCTTCACTGACTTTGAAACTTCCAGATAGACAGGGGCGTTTCATGGTTTCTTGTGATGCATCTGACAAAGCAGTTGGTTTTGTCCTAGAGCAGTCTGACGTCAGTGGGGGTAGAAGACCGGTGGCTTTTGGAGAGCGGAAACTTAACAAGGCCGAATGCAATTATTCAACTACGGAAAAGGAATGCCTTGCAGTAATTGAGGCC